ACCTTTTGTAGCACAATATAACCTTTAAAGATGCCCCTGAAAACATAGAGATTTATTCCTATTTCTGTTGCTAAATATTCTTCTTCTTTATTTGCCAATTCCATTTCGAATATGGGTGCTCATATAACATAAAACTATATTGCTTAAATTAACCTTTGATAAGGTTTGTAGGTTGGAGTGGCGACCTTGTATCCCAAATAGCCCACTTGAGCTCAAATGATGACCCATTGTGGTACCACAGGAATGACGTTGGTATGTACATAGATTTAGATCAGTATACATTCAACGCCGAACGAAGGTAACAACTCCCCCATTAGGTAAAGGAAAACCAACCTGACAATTCTATAAACTTGGCTAGGTCCCTAACATTACAGGATGACAGCTCAGTCAGATCGGTGAGAAAAGGGGATCCGAAGATTTTTAATCTTCTTCTAGCTAAGGAAGGACACTGACACATGAGATGGAGCACGGTTTCCTCAAATGATGGCCCATTGTGGTACCACAGGAATGACGTTGGTATGTACATAGATTTAGATCAGTATACATTCAACGCCGAACGAAGGTAACAACTCCCCCATTAGGTAAAGGAAAACCAACCTGACAATTCTATAAACTTGGCTAGGTCCCTAACATTACAGGATGACAGCTCAGTCAGATCGGTGAGAAAAGGGGATCCGAAGATTTTTAATCTTCTTCTAGCTAAGGAAGGACACTGACACATGAGATGGAGCACGGTTTCCTCCTCATCCTCAGAACCACAACCTCGACAAATATAATTAAAGGGAAGACCCAGTCTCATAGCATGCCTTCCTACTAAACAGTGTCCCGTCAGCACAGATACCGTGGTGCTGAGCAGGTTCTGTCTTAGTTGAAGTAGCTGACTAGTTCTTTTCTTGTCTAAATTAGACCAAGTCAACCTAACATTGAGGTTCGTCAGCCCAGTATTGCTTGGCTATGCTCCAATGCCGCTCATATTATAGCGGCTCATATTTTACATTTCTCATAATTTGCCCAATTGCTTATTAGAATTCGTTCATTTCGTTTATAGAGCATATTTCATTAATAATTGATATACACATAACATTAATATACATTTTGGAGTTCTCACTTAAAATGTTTTTTTTTTCAGTTATAATGACTAAATAGTATGGTAAAAAATTAGGGGCAGTTAAAAAAAGTCATCAAGCCGTATAAAATGGCCACTGAAATTAAGAAGCTTGTTGAACATCTCGCTTCACAGTTATAGAAAATATTGTATGAAGATTAAGGTATTAGAAATAATGAGGTAAAAAATTGGGGGCTGCTAAAAACTAAATGAAACTTTATTAAATGATCACTGAAAATTGCGAAACTTGCTAAACGTTTCGCTTCACAGTTTATGGAAAATATTAAATAAAGATTTGGAGATTTAAAGATTAATCAGAAAGCTATATTCATTGGTGACAGTGGTGATACTTAATAGGTTCACCTTTACGATTTAAGTAAATATAAGATTTTTGTATTAAAATGTGGATTTAAAAACTGAAAAAACTCTTACGAAAAATGCAGTATACATTTATGATGGTAAGGACTGATAAAAAATTAAAAAATAATATATAGTATAAATATAAAACATTAATAAAGGCAGACTTAAGATTTCAAGTGAATTCTATTAAGATTCAAATACGACTCATTATGCACATATATCTTACTTACATACTTACTTATGCACATATATATATATTTTACTCAGTAGGACTGGTATTGACTGTAACCATGAGAACAGTACCCACATTCCTAGTGATATCCAACAACTGCATTAATAACATTGCAATTGTCTATGACGATTAAAATTAAAAATAATGGATTCCGTATATCATATAACTTAATTAATATATGTATTATTAATAATATAATTAATAATTTATATACACATATATGATTTCGTTCTAATATAAACCCAGCAAGTGAATTTGTGAATAAAACTTTCACAGCAAATTAAAAAAAAATTCAGAAAAATGTACGAACATAAAAGTCAAGTAGGGCTTTAGGTCAATTGGTTAAGGAGCGCTGACTCTGAGCTTCAAATTTGGCAGGGCACGAGTTCAATCCCTGGTATTTGCAGTCTCAAAAAAATTATTTACGAATAATTAAATACAAGAAATAATTCAAAAACCACTGATGATGGGTATCTGTAACAATATTTAATAATAATATAAAAATAATTTTTGTTGTTGTAGCTCACTTCTGTTCGAAACTTCTCTACTAATTAATATATAAAATTAACTTAACCAATGGCTTGAATTGAAACAATAACTGAAACAACGTATGCCTAAAACTTCATCCATGGACAAAATTTATAGCCAATGACTATGGGTTATTTTTACATAAATCACAATTATAATTTTGTGCACTGTGCTATAAATACTGTTTGCTGCGCGACTAATACGTCTTTTCTGCGCTATGATTTCAGATGGTTGAGAACTTTATTGTTAAACAACAGTTGGTTTGAATAAAACATTGAAGAAAAAAATAATTATAAAACTATGAACTTATAATAAGAATGATTGCCAATTACACGTTTAGAATTCATTATTTTTAATGAATTAAATAATTAAACCAATTAATAAAATTCTGAATTTGTGTGAAGTTCTCAGTAAAAAAACACATACAATATTAGATTTTTAATCTCGAATAGTTTTATGTACCAAAAAACCCAAAATCTTTACTTACAAAAAAGCATCCTCCAAGATTCAAAGTGTCGCTTATTATCTCCAACAGGCAACTATAAACGTTAAGCAATTTAGGCTATAGAGGCATCGCAATCGTCAAGATTTGATCCCTGAAGGAGTTGCAATACATTAGTAACAATTTAAAATTTATATTACTTTTTTACCAGTTCTTGTATCATAAATTTATTATTATTCGCTTTTATCTTATATTTACAATCTTACATTAAATGGAAATAATATAGCTTAACGTATGGTTTGTTGATTTTTCTATTTCAACAATTCACAAAAATTATTAATAAATTTTAAAATAATTAATCAGTGGTTAAAATAAACCTACACTAATTACTTGTTACATTCTCTTTTAATTGCTGATAATGGAAGGTAATCCTCTAAATTAGATTTTTTCATACGGATTTCAAAATTTCGTACATATTTGCTAGCTTCAGAGATTGGTATGAATCGGTCACTATTTGGTTGAGTGTCTTCGACAATACCAGCTTCTTCATTTTTTGCCATACAATACAACTGATGAAATTGTATTCCTCTCATAAATTCATCACATTCTTTATCGATGTTTTCCAGTTTATTTGGTGTAAGAGCAACAGTTCCTTTTGCGTTTAGCTCAGCTGTTAATATAATTTCAAGAAGTTCAGCTTCCACTGCTTTTTGCACTGGCTTAGGTAAACTCTCCAATAATTCGGTATTTTGCAATATGCATTTTTGGACTTCCGTGAGTGTTTTCTTTGGTGTTATCACATTAGAATCTAATTTGTCACATATATATGCTATGAGCTCCCGAAGAGGTGTGGGAAGGGCAGTCAAGTCATATGACTTACTTAATGCTTTACAAATATTTTTAAGTACTTGCCAACGATTTCTTAACTCATCAGCACTAAAATGTATAGGACAAGGCTTCTCGATATGCTTGTAGGTGTTATTAAATTTAATTGTAATACACTGCCAGGCCCATTCCATATAATCAGGATCCTCATAACCCTGCACGTTCGGGTTAAAAATAAATGGATAATGTTGTATTATTTCCAACAACTTTAGATCATTTAAGACAATTTCACCTACTACATTAGAATGTGATACATTTAACACTTCCATGCCAGGGCTATTACCGTTTAACATATTTAACTTAAAAAAATTGTTAAATTTTGTCTGTGGTTGCCCACTTGTTTATTTCTGAGAATATATGACAGATTGAATGCACATCTGTCAAAGTGTATGCCAGAGCCAAGTTGGCAACATTGCTGTGTCAAACAGGGCTGGTATATAAAATCAATTAAAGAATTGTATTAAAATATTGCAAAGGGAAAGGTAAATTATATTAAGATATTAAAAAAACTGTATACATAGATAGAATAAAAATAATTGTGTGCTTTTTATATTTATTATTTCCATTTAACACATTCTGAATTTTTAACATACTTTCTGTATATAAGAAAACAAAACAAGTAAAGGCGTTTTCAGTGACTCGCAAGTATGGCAGAAAACAGTAAGTTACTGACATATACTGGCCGAAATGTACGCAAAACAACAACACTATTTTCTTTATCTAGGCCAGTAGTTGTAAACTGGTCACACATTTAGTCTAGTAAATAAAGAAATGTTACCAACACAATAAGCTAACTATTGTAAACCGTTATTGGAAACTCTAACGAATATTGCAATAATATGTCAAAAGTCATGTGTAAACAAAAATTCAAACATTTTCAAATATTTCATAAATTTGAAAATTGGGGAAAAAGAAAAAATTGTATTGTTTTATTTTGAAATTTCTAACATTTTTACAATTCCTTTTAATTCTGTGTTTGTTTTAATTTTCAATTTATAATAATTATTTATTTTTTTCAAAATGTAATTTGCTTGCATTATGTGCACATATGCTAGATTTGCTATTTGTAAAACATAACACTTAACAGATTGCAACAATAAGCCTTTTCTGTTGTAAGCATGTCGTAAAAGAACAAAATAAGCACTACTTTTTATGGCAAATCTAGACAAAATGGAAATTTTGATCGATTTATATGTACAAAACACGTAATAAAGTTTAATTTTGAAATTTTGATAATAAATAATTCTTTGCAATTAAGAAAAATGTTTTTATATAAGATTTAATGAAAATTAAAAAATTAAAAGAAAATCCTATAATATGTATAATTTGTCAATTTCTTTTCGCTACTGCTTAGAATGATCATTCTTTTAAAAGTGCTGTTTGCACAATACAACAACAAAAATTCCAAAATACAACTCTGTGTAGCTTTCTTATTTAGCACTATTGTGATTTAATCACATTCAATTGTTGGCCTGTTTTGTAAACAACCGCGCAATTAATATATTTTATTGCATTTCAGATGCATTTCTAGAAATTTTACTTTAGGAATATTGTTATTAAAATAAGGAAAATGTCAAAGCGAAATAGCAAACGTTTGCCGAAAATCCCTAACGTCAACGCTGGAAAAATCTGTGAAATTTTAGTGGAAAACTTTTTGTAAGTACAAACAATTTAAAATTAAAATAATTGTTTCTTAAATTTGAAGGGGCGGATAATGTACAAACAATTATTTTAGATTACACAGAATACTCCTAACTTAGCTTAAATTTGCTTAACATAATATATTTGTACAGAGGATAACCATAGTAAATTATTTGTATCAGAATACTTATTACACAAACGTAGAATATCTCACCGCAAATCAAAATTTACAAGTCATTATCATATTAAATATAAACGCCATTTTTGTAGTGATCATCTGCGGTACAGACGAGTCGCACAGAAGCATTGCAAGTTATTATTTCAGTTAGAAAAAGTCATCACATCAGCCGTTGAGGGTAATGAAGCTGGTGTTAAACTTCCTGATCTATATTAAATTTGTATTATTCAAAATTTATGTTTATTACCAGAAAAAAAATCTTAATTTACTTTATGGCACCATGGCATTAACAAATACCTACTTAAACTTGAACGCCATCTTTAGTTAGGCAAAGGCATTCTTTAGTAACAAGCAGTCAACGATGGCATCTACAAATATTTCCTCTTTCAACGTTTCCTTACTATAAGATTATTTGACAAATGGTAGTATTTTTAATAAACTCGTGCATTTAATAAACAATTTGTAGATAATTATTCAAAATACTAATAATACAAACCACATAGGTTGTAGTTGTTAGAACTAGTGTAGACTTGTGGGCATTGTGCCTGTTAGGCATGGTCAAGGGCATTGAATCATCTGTTTTGACAAGTGATTCCAGAACGTAGAGCTAATACGGGCATCCAAAAATCAAAGATTAAAACCTTTAAATTTCCTCCAACCATAAAATTTTTTTGTACAAAGACTAGAACATATTTCTAAATTTTTTTAAGGAATGTTCTACGTTGTACAATGTATAAAACGTACGATGGATCTTGCGATTTTAGTTTTACTATTGATAAAAATAAAACTTATTTGATATTATTATATATAATATATGTAACTTATATATTTATATTTTTAAATATTTTAGAACTTACAAAAAATTTAAATTTAATGCAGAACCGTATTTAAATTTAATTATTGGACCAAATGGAACTGGCAAATCATCAATTGTTTCAGCAATCGTTCTTGTATTCGGCGGAGAGCCAAAATTACTGGGACGTAATAATGATCTTAGTACATATGTTCGCAGCGGGTCGTCGGCTGCTTACGTTTGTGTTAAAATTAATGGTAAAAACAATAACGAATACGTCAAATTTCAACGAAACTTCAATATAGAATGTGTCTCTGAATATAGAATAAATGACACTTTGGTAACTAAGGCAGCATATTTAAAAGAAGTGAATAGTTTCAATATTCAAATAAGCAACTTATGTCAATTTCTACCACAAGACCGTGTTCAAGTATGTATTTACATAAAATTTTAAAATATATATAAAAATAATTAAATATTATATAATATGGAATTGTAGGAATTTGCGCGTATGTCCAGTCATGATATGCTATTAAACACATTAAAGTCTGTCTGCTCTGAACAAGTAAGTCTAGATCTTACTACTCTGATCACATTAAGAAAACAACAAGTAAATGGTGTTAAAGATATAACAAGTTGGAAGAAAAAATTACTGGAATCTGAAAACAGATTAAACGAGTAAGTAAAGAATTACTCTAAAAAGATATACACCCATATTTCACAGTTAAGTTTCACGGAATGTTTTATATTATTACATATGTTTTATTTATTTATTACTATAATTATAGTTGAAAACATTTATTTATAATTTAAAGATATTATAAACATAATTGTTGGTGTTGTAACCCGCGGAGTTTATATACTCATTCACACAGTTGATCGGTGGGGAGTTTCCAATTAACTTTATTCTGTGTTAACGCTTGATAATTTTTATCGAGTCTATTCTAGATTTAGTATTAGTTTCATCATTGCTCACACCATGTATCTTGGTCTTAGACTTCCTCTACTTAAATAAGATTACAATGAAAACCTACATCTAACGTAAAGCTCAACGAAACATCATTCTAGTTTGTTAGCCAATATGTTAATACGAAATCACTGATAGTTTCTATTTTTAAATATAAAATTTAATTGAAATTATAAAGAAAAGGAAAAATTTTTTATTTCAGCTTAAAGACTTAATTTACTTCACTCCGTTTTTGGTATATAAGTGTTGTTGTGACCTCTAACAAAGTACCTAATTTTCGGGTCCTTGATAAGCAAGTGTCAGCGATAATTAGTCGTCAGGAACAAATGTTTTCTGGACGTAGACCTAACCTCTCCTAGTATATCAAGACTAATGTGTTGCTATTATATTTGTGTATGTATGTGTGCAACATTATTACGAATTTGTATTAAATAATTAAAAAAATTAAAAAAACTACGTGCGGCTTAATTTTTTCATATTTTTTTATTTGTATGCATTAAATTAAATAATTAAAATGTATTACTGAAACCAATTGAAACTGCTTTACTCTTTTGAAGTGCATTTTGTCAAGATGACTTTGCAATATATTCTCATGTGCCACACTCGTGGACATTCATATAACACAATTTCCTCGTATCAAGAATACGTTAACACCTACTGCAACTGAGATCAAAATAGTCTTGTTAAGTATTGATAAGTATTAGATATTATATATAACGAGGCGATTATTTTTTAAGACCACACTTTCAACTTTCTACAGCCTTCACTTTATATGTTTAGGAAAAAAAAACAATCGTATATTCCAAATGAAATTCCACTCCTTGTGGTGTCGCTCATTTCTTTGTATTTTCCACTCAAATTTAAGTTTTATTGATTTTTTGCTCTTCACCATTAGGGTAATATCAACCGTCTCTAGTTCAATACTTTTGCTTCTCTACACTCCCCTTACAATACTTCCTTCTACGTTGTCCATCTTTCATATATTTCCGTCTTAGTAGTTATTGTAGTTTTCAAAACCGTTTTCAAATTACAAATGCTTAATAATAATAAAGTGTATTTTATTTGTATTTAATTTGCATTTTTATATTACAGCCTAAAAGCAATCATAAATTCCTATAAACTACGTAATAATATATGTGATAAAATCGGCTTATGCAATCTAAAAAAAGTAAATTTAGAAAAAAGCGTTAAAGAAACTGAAATAAAATCTTACAAAAAAGACTTAAATGAAGCTACTAAAGTATTAAATAAATATACAGCATTGGTAAAGTCTATGATGTCAAAAAAGAACAAAATTAAGAATCAAACTGAACAACTCTCAGCTGAAGTCCAAAAAGCGGTACGTATAAATAATTTAAAATGCTTGTAATTGATACTAAAATGTCCTTTATATTTTCAGAATTTAGAAGAACAGAAATTCGACGAGGAAATAGAAATGTGTTTTCAGCAAATAGATGAAGCTAATAATAATATTACTAGAGCAAAATATGATTATAAGGTTTGTTTTTATTATTTTATATTAATACTTTAAATATTATTCGAATTGTTTGAAGCTGCGAGCTTTTTTATGTTCGAGTATGTTTGTTACGACAGCGAGATATTCGGAAATAATCGAATATCATGTTTGTGTTTAAGCAATGTTGGATCGAAATAATAGGAATTTAGTGAATTCGAACCGCTTGAGCAATTTTTTTAAATTTTTTTTTAATGTCAATAATATTAGATGAACTATAATTATAATTATTTCCCTACTATTTATATAACTTAACTTTTTTTGTTTTTTTATCGCTTGTTTTTTAAACCTAATTAGTAATAAGTTTAATTTAATTAATAAGTATACATCAAACCTTCTTCTGTTACAACTATAAGTTCAGAAGCAGAAGTAAATAAATATTGAATTGAAAAAATTGAATATTAGATGAACTCATTTGATAATAATATAACTTCGACAAGGAAGGTAATAATAACTAACGATAGCACTTATTTGTAAAGACAGCACACACCAGTCGAATACGCTAAAGTTCATTTTTGTCAAACAATCATTATGAATAATAAGACGCATTTTATTTTAAACATGGAAAAACCTCGAATCACTAAAAAGCACCTCTTTACTGTTAAAAAGTGACAATATTGTGCGGAATTTATGCTTATATATTCATAAAACCATATTTTTTCAAAGACTTCAGTGGTAAAGTAACATCCGTCCACCAGGTGCGTTATCGGGCTATGATCCGTCCACTTTTGGTTTCAACAAGAAGGCACACCATCACCTACCATTCGTGCTACAATCATTTTTTTGAAGTCATTATTATCCGATCCGATTAATATCAAAAAATTATAATTTTATAGGCATCCGCATTTGCCTGATTTCTAACGAAAAGACTTTTTTCTTTGAGACTATTAAAAGTCAAACAATTATGTCAACAAGCCGAAGGCTCTGGATGAACAGAAGGGCAAAATTCGCCAAGAAGTAGCAAAGGATGACCACTTGCGCGATTTAATCTTCGGAAAGTGATGTGATCAAATCCTCTTAAATCAAGTTAAATGAGTTTTAACTTGAACAGAATAAAAAATTTTTTATTATTTTTTTTATTTAAGTGGAAGCACCCAATTAGCCAACCCTTTTTTTCTATAAATGTATATATTAAATATATATATTTTAAGAAATTGATTAAGACGCTAGAAAGAAATGACTTTCAGTATTACAATTCTTGTTTTTAAAAAAAAGAAGGAAAAATTTAATTTGTCTGTTTGTTGAAATTCTTTATAGATTTCTTATCTACTTCATTCAGTAGGTCTTTCCTATAGCTCACTATAAATTGTCCACAGCGGTTTTGTGGAACATTTTAGATCTTATTTTAGCAAAGGATTTCCTTTCTAACTCTGTAGGATTTTTCTTTAGTCTTTTTAATATCATTGAATCACTAGTTATATAAAATAGTCAATGACAGATTTTTTTTTATTTATTGAATTTAGTTTTCGCTATATTGGATATTTTTTGTATAATTTTTTAATAGAATGGTATTTTGAACAGTAGTAAATAAAATTTTAATTATAAACAACATATAAAATTTTATTAAATTTTATTACATTGGACAAAAAAAATACTAGTCAGCTACTTTAACTAAAGCGGAATCTGCTCCGCACTATGGTATCAATGCTCACGGATTAGTTCTTAATAGGGAGGTATGCTATGAGGCTAGGTCTTCCTTATGTTGTCGTGGTTGTGGCTGTAAAGACAAGAAGGAAACTATGTTTCATCTCATGTGTCAGTGCCCATTTTTAGCTACGAGAAGAACAAAAATCCTGGGGGCCTAATTTTTTGACCGATCTGACTGAACTGTCATTCTGCAATATTAAGAACGTAGCCAGATTCATAGAACTGTCGGGTTGGTTTACCTATACCCAATAGGGGAGTCGTTGCCTTTTTTCTTCGTTGGTAGCATTCTGATCATGTTGTCTATATACAAATCAGCTATATTCCTATGGTACACAACGGGCCATTATTTGAGCTCAAGTTGGCTTACTTGGTACACAAGGCCGCCACTCCAACTTAACCTAACCTATGGAGCTATTACAAGTATTGTCAAAAACCCATGGTCAGTGGTATTGAAATTATTAGAATTCTTATATTATATATGCGTTAATAATTTTTTCAGACTGCAAATACCAATAGTTGAACTCATACCCTGCTAAATTTGAAGCTCAGAGTCAGTGTTCATTAGTCAACTGACCCGAAGCCGTACTTGATTTGTATATTCGAACTTGTAGTTGTTAAATAGTTCTGTGAAAATAATTAACAAATTCACTTGCTGTGTTACATTAAGACCGAAAAGTTTTCGGAAATTCTCATTTAAAATTCGCGCGCTGTATATTTTTCGATATTTTAAGTTTATGTAGTTTGGCAGCAATTAAGGACAATTACTATGCCAAAAATGAGCGCGATCTGTCAGACAGTTCGTTTACGGCAGCTGTTGAAACCAGTTCACCTCAGTAGTTCGTTGCGAAAAAAACAATGGAAAAAAATATTGAACAAAGAGTTTGCATCAAATTTTGTGTTTCGAACGAAATTTCGTGTGCAGAATCGTTGCGAATGCTACAAAAGGCTTATGGGGAATCAGTTTTATCGAAAACTCAAGTTTATGAGTGGTACAAAGCCTTTCAGGACGGTCGTACGACCGTCAAAGACATTTCGCAACGCACTACTGAGGTGAACTGGTTTCAACAGCTGCCGTAAACGAACTGTCTGACAGATCGCGCTCATTTTTGGCATAGTAATTAAGGACAGGGCTGCCAAACTACATAAACTTAAAATATCGAAAAATATACAGCGCGCGAATTTTAAATGAGAATTTCCGAAAACTTTTCAGTCTTAATGTATATTAGAACGAAATTATAATATACCATTCAATTGATAACAATAGTTTAAATTTAAAATTTAGTTTCTTTCGTCAAAACGAACATTACGAATTATTTTAATAATTTTTTAATTTAAATAAATTGTATAGCAAAAAGTTGAAGGAATTCAGCAAAAGCAAAAGCAACTTCAAAAAGCAAAAGATCTTTATAAAATGAACTGCACAGATTATAAAAGAATGGAAGCCGAAATAGAGACGCTTGATAGTTCTATGGCCGCTATTTGTTCCAAAAAAGAAAAACTAGAGTCTACACTCAAATCTTTAGTGCAGGAGCGATCAGTTATATCAAAAGAAATTGAAGAAGATCTTATTCCAATGAAACAACAAATACAACACACAATGAATAATTATAAAGATAAAATTAAAAAATATGAAGAGGTAATTTCATCGGAAAAAATTTTTTGTAGTAAACTTTCTCAATGTTTGCATTAGTTTTTCAGAACCAATTATCCAGATGTGCTTAAGGCAAATAATTGGATTAAACAAAATAAGAATTTGTTTAAAGGAAATGTTTTTTCCCCCATTTTAATGGAGGTAATTAATAAAATTAATAATAATATAAATTTTATTACATTTTTTATAATAATTAGATTAATATCTCTGACCCGAATAATGTTAAATATTTTGAAAACATAATACCTATACGTGATTTGTGTGCATTTACTGTTGAAGACATTGATGACTTTTCACTTCTGGTGAATGAACTAAATACGAAATTAAATTTGAAAATTAATTTATGCTTCTCGGAACCAGCAACTAAGTGTCACTATACGCCAAATGTGTCTCTTTTACAATTAAAGTAATAATTAAAATAACTATTATATAATTGTTAGTAATTTAATATTTTATAGGCCATACGGATTTCATTCCTATATGGTTGATTTGGTAAAAGGCCCTCCGTCAATAATCAACCATCTGTGTTCCTTATTTAGCATACATAATATACCTGTCGGGAACGCTGATGTACATAAACATACCGCAAGCATACCTGTAAATATACATACATTTTTTGGTGGTAAGATCGTGCATATATATTAGATCCATGGTTGTTGTTAATGATAAACTATTTTCATTTATAAAGAAAATTCTCGTTACTCTGTAAAAATTTCCAAATATTCAAAACAGCCGTCAACTGTTAAAAATACAATCGCTGGTAAAAATATAATATCCAGTCAAAATCCTCAAGAAATTAATGATATCAACCAAAAGTAAGAACTTGTAATTTATCGTTGTCGTTTATATATAGAATACTTTTATATAAATATTTTATTGTAGATTGGTAAATATTACGAAAGAATTAGATTCGAAACGAAATCAAAAAACACTAATTGAGGCACAAATATCAACAATAAAAGAAGAACGTTCCCAATTGAAATCCAAATGTGAAACTTTACTACATAAAAAAACTAATCTAAAAAGGGCTGAAAACGAGATTGATGAAAGAAAAAAGGAGATTAAGAAACTTACTGCATATGTAGAAGGTAAGTTTTAATGTGTACTCAAATCTTATAGAAACATTTTCTCTCGATTGGCATGAGTGACATTTGTTCGAGTAAAGGTACGAACCCTCCCTCCACGATGCATCCGTCAATCCCTTACCACTTTCAATAACCATATCGACCAATATTGGACTAATAGCACTCCATACCGATGCAGTATCTTCTTCGAGACCTAGGTTGACTCCCAACAAGGTCCTCAATAGGCCCCCGCCTAACATCTCCCAGGTTGAACGTAGTCTCACTCGTGCAGCAAGAACTGTCCTAGCTCAATTGAGATCAGCATATAGCCATGTGCTAAACAGTTACTTGTCACGCATAAACACGTTCACTCCTAATGTGTACCCAAACATCAGCTCTACCCTCCATGACGTCGCTCATCTGTTTTCTTGCCCCAATGCACACACTGATTAAGTTCAATCGACCTTTGGACTCATCTCCTTGAGGTAGTTAGGTGCCTTCGTCTGAACCCTGGTTAGTTTCAATTATATCACCCCCTTCCTTTATTCCCTGAACCATAACACCACCTGTCCACTCCCTTAGCCATGTATTCGTCTCGTAATCTTGTAATGTATTCGTCTGCTTTTAAATCCCACGGGCTACAATAACAACAGGACGTGGATTCATCCGCATCTATAACATATATAATTTTAGTTTGATTCTATTTAATTAATGTTATATAATAATTTATAATGTGTGTTTATGCTATAATTTACAAATTGTTTTAGGTATTCCTCAGTTAAAAGAGTCATACAAAGCAACTGTCAATGGATTCATAGAAGAAAATCGCCGTGCTGTTCGATTAAAAATAGTTAATACAAACAATATAGTAAATGTGATTTTAAGAAAGACACAAGCAATGGATCGGGCTAGAATTTACAATTCCGAAAAAGAAAATATAGATAGTGAAATTCAAGAAGCGGAAATAAAGCAACAAGATAGTAATGTAAGTATATATAGCAAGAAAAAATTTAAAAATTTGCATTATATTAAAAAAATATGTAAATCGTTTTGTAGCATATAAAGCTGCATCCACTTCAAAGCGAATGCTTGCGAACGAACAAACTTTTTCAGGTACGATTATCTACTAATATTTATTCGTTCGCAAGCGTTCGCTTTGGTATGGATGCACCTTTATATGAGCACGTACAAACATTTCTCTTTTATAAAAAAAAGTAATATGTGCCGTGTACATTTATAATGTCATCATATTTGCACTACAGTGTTTTCGTGCCTTCGTACATTTATTTTTATTATTAAAAAGAAAAACAAATAAGAGGTCGTTTACGTCTCAATTGAACTAATGCTGAAAGAAAAGAACGTCATCGTTTATAAAAGCAAGGATCAAATGCAAACCGTAAAGATCGATTAAATACTTTTACACATATCAAAAATTTATTTATAGAAACAACAATAGAAAACCAAAACTTCACATTTGTCAGAGGAACAAATTCAAGAAAAACATAAACAAAAAAGTCGTTTGTATCAGTCTTTGTTGGGATTTTATGTTAAAAGCACATACATATTAGCTGCGTTTCAGCAAACCTGATCCGCTCAATGATCTGAATCATCTTTGCTGAAACGATACGGATCACGTTTGAAAATAATTGGCAACGCATGAAATATGCCAGTTGGGTTTGTGCACAAAATTTTTTGGTTTATGTGAATAATTTTGGCGCTAAAAAAATAAGTGAGAAAATTTTGAATACAAAAAATCTAAAAAATAGAGAATAAATAAAATCTGTTGAAATGTCTGAAGTATGAAATATAAGTTTTTATTTAGTATTTACTTAAAAACTTAAATTTAATTCTATAGTAAAAAAAAGGAAATTGCAGATTTTATTAGAATTATCGAGCAAAACTGACTCCTCCGTTTTCTTTTTAAACACTAGTCCAAGTGTATTAAGCTCAAGGGATGAAGTGCATCAGCATGGATATAGTGAAAATTTTATGGAAACGATCAATAATTGTTCCGTTAAAGATTATTTGATTGGTATTTGCGCATAAAAAATACAATTGCTATATATTAATTATGTTTCATATTTTAATGGATTTGTTAATAAATTCCAATCAGCAAATGCAAAATAACCGTGATGATCACAATCGGACGAGAGCAATGAAGGAAATTTACATATTTTTGTGGTATATGGCAAATATAAATACTTTTCGCGAATTTGGTATTTGTTTTGGCATACCAAAAGCTTCTGTATGGAGAATAATTAAAAGAACTAGTGTTTAGCTTATATCAATTGCAAAATTTCCGTTCATTATTGACAGCACACATGTTAAAATAAATGCACCTCACCATAGCAATTAGGCTTATTTCAAAAGAAAGCATGAATATAGCTTAAACTTGCAAGCAGTTTGCAATGTTTTTTTTTATAAATGTGTATGTTGGAGAGCCTGTTTCCTTATGTATTGTCCTGTTTTAATTAAATAAATGTATTCAACTTAATGTTTATATATTCATTTCAAATTAATTGATTTTCATAAATTATCAAACAACACTTTTTTAATAATAATAATACGTAAATAATTAAAGTAATAATTTTAATTAATTTTAATAATTTTAATTTATAGTAATAGTAATAATTAAAACATTACTTCAAACAAAGAAATAAATAATAATGACATATTAAATAAATAAGTAAATAAAATAAATAAAATCAATAATAAATAAATATAGATTATAGATGTAGATTTGTTTATAATTTTACTACACCGTTGCATCGCATTGTCAACCTCATTTGCATTAAAATACGTTCCACTTTTATCTTTTACATACATTCCACATTGAATCAGAAAGTGAACCAGATCAACTGCTGGTTCACCCCATTGTTTTTGTTTTGCATGTAAAATTGAGCGGATCATGTTTGCTGAAACGCAGCCATTGTTAAATATGAAAGAGCATATATGAAAATACCGGGGTTTGGAGAGCGAAGCTCGCAGAGGCAGATCCCTTTATTATTAAAAAAAATTAGTGGACCAGTGAAACATCAAAATGTGATGTTTGGAAAAATTTTCTCTCGGCTCGAACATATCGGCAAAGTATACACTTAAACAGGTATTCACATTCTATACAATTAATTTTGTATAGAATATATAGAACCATTTTTTTTTTGTAAAATTAAGAATTAAATGAAGAATTAATGTATACAATAAGAAAATTATTTGTAGATCACCTTATAAGTCTTATAAGTTATAATCAACAATCTTCCTCGTTCTGTCGTAGAGCATACAATTTTCACAAAAATTCTTCGATTAAACCGAAGAATTGCACTAGTACTCTCGTATTTCTTCATCTTTATGTAATGCTAAGAACGCACCGGATTAGTACGGAATACTAATGTAACCTTTTTGTTGCTCCGGCAATTAGAAAGTAATGCATAACGTATAATATTGAAACAGGTTTATATAGTGTAATCTCATTCTACTGACACTAAATCTTAATTACATAGCAGTTTGAATTTTTAGTTAAATAAAATATGAATGATATTCCATTATTAACTTATTTCGATTTTATAAATATATTTTTAGGCAGTGGTGGCGAAAATAACTGCACAGATTGAAAAGCAAAAAAGTGTTCTGGAGGAGATACAAAGAAAAATTCTACACTTAAAGAAGAAATATAATGCGAATAATCCATATTTTGAAGAATTGCCCACTTCGTTGGATGAAGTGAATGATATTAAAAATGAATTACTTGCACGTCTAGAATGCATGGAGGAAATAGATCCAGAAGTATTACTTACCATAAATTCCCAATAACAAATATATTTACTTTAAACATTTATTTAGGTTATAAGAGAGCACGAAAGTAAAGATTTGGAAGTGAAAGAATTGACTGAAAAGATCAAAACATTGGATAACAGTGTAGAAAATGGAGAATCTGAAATTAAAAGAATATATGATAAATGGTTTCCAATAGTTAATAATGTTATTGACGCGATTAATAAAAGTTTTAGCGAGTTTATGGCTGAAATGAAATATGTTGGTGAAGTAATTTTATATAAAGTAGACGATGTAAGTAATTACCTTGTTTATTTCTTATTATATATTCTTGATTTAAGTAATTTAATTAAATATAAAAAAAATTTAGGTTTTAATTCAGGTGACAATTGTTGAAGTCTTCCTTTTTATCAGTGTTTTTAATTTTTATTATACCTGTTATGCTTCATTATTTAGTACAACAATGCAGAAGACATCCCTTGAAGCATGTAATTTTTTTGTTAACATAATCCTTCATTTTTACTCTACCTGACAAAATTCAGTATTCAGTTTCTGACGCCGTTGAATTAATTAGTCGCGCACCTATATCATATATCTTGACATGTAAATTCATTTATATGACTTTAATCCCTCAAATTTAGGTAAAACGATGGAAATAAATCATATTTCATACACTTTTAAACAAAATATATAGGGATTATCGTTGCTGGCGCGACTTTCAAGGTAACCGTCAGGCTAAAGAGCTTGTTCATCACTACAGTTAAAGTAACGTATCCTTCTTCAGCAGAACAGAGTTGAGGTTGTTGGTGGAATATTTAATGGGTCACCATGAACTGCGTTATCACCTTAACAAAATAATTCTGTCCGAAGAGATAGATTGTCAAGTCTGCCTAGAAGAAGACTAGACTTCCAGTCACATTCGCTGTGACTGTCCAGCTTTGATCTACGTCAGGAAGAGGCTACTGTGTCGTGAACTACTCTCCCCTTCTGACATTCGGAGGTGCTCAACGTCCAACATTCTGGCTTTCATTCGGAAGACGGAATATCTTCTGTTAGGTTAGGGTCTGTTGCAGCACAACACATCAACCATGGTCGCAGTGCTCCGCTCCGTTTGGAGCTGGTACTCTGTTTATTCCTATTTCCTATCAACATATTATGTATAAGGCCCATGCATCGATATCATGTTTCAATACCGTTTATCAGCACCATGCGTACTCTGTATGCGTTCTAAAAAGAACCTTTTAAAGTGCTTTTTCATCATGACTTGCAGATATCGATTTTTAATAAAATTTGACGATGTTTCTAAGGAAATCTAATCGCACAAATATCTAATGGAATGAAAAAATGTATTGAATTTAATGACTTAACACGGAAAAGCTCTGGCTTGACGCATTTATCAGACATAAAGTTAAAATTGTTACAAAATTAAGTCTCTCATATGGTTTTTTTTTCATCTAAATATTGTAATAAGTATTTCTATTAATTTAAAAGCAAGCATTAAGTATGAGAAGTAATTACCAATAAATTTAGTCCTTCATATTTAAATATTGAACGAAACACCCCACATTCACCAAAATTAATATTGGTATAATTTTTATAAGTCGATGTTTTTCAGGAAACAATAAACTATCATTCTTATGTCTACTAAAAAAATATATTAGAAGCCTACAATACTCATTGCTTTCGAATAGTTTTTTAAGATAATCTTGTCAACAGCATTAATATAATTGCTTATGAGCAGAAATGCTCGCAAATTTAATTTATTACAATTATTTCAACGTTATATTTACTTCACGTAATGATATTTTTATTAAAGTAATGATATTTTCTTAAAATTCTAGTATGATTTCGAGAAGTATGGTATCCAAATAAATGTCCAATTCAGAAAGAACGTCCCACTTCAAGTTCTTGATAAGTATGTGCAATCGGGAGGCGAAAGAGCTGTTGCGACTGCTACTTACACTTTAGCTCTTCAACAATTAACTCATGTTCCGTTTCGGTAAATATAATATTCTTTTCTAATTCGTGTTAAAACTAAAATCTTGGTCTGCATTTTCAGTTGTGTAGATGAAATCAATCAAGGAATGGATTCGACTAATGAACGCAAAATATTTAATATGATTGTTAACGAAACCACCGCTCCGAATAAACCGCAGTTCTTCTTAGTTACACCAAAGGTAAAATTATATAAATTATTTTTCGATTTTAATGAGTAGTAAATTATAACAAAAATTTTTATTTTTAATTAATTGAATTTTTGCCAAATCATACGCTTATTTCGACCATCAGTGTTCTTTAAAAATATATCTTGGGTTTTATTATTTTTAAATTATTAATTTAAACAAAAAAGATAATATTATAATATTTAATTTTAAAAGTTAATATTGTGTTTGTTGTTGTGGTTAATTAATTTATGTATATTAAAAGCTGTAACGTCGAAATATGGCGTAGAGAAAAACGTTGCTCAGAATAATTAAACGTACTAAACTCGGTCAGAAAATTGTAGGAAAGCGTAGTGGTGTCATTTGTGTTTGTATAAAACAAATTTAACTTATTAATAACCTTAGGCACAACATCAATATGAAAATAAATCATAACGTATATTTTTTAATGTCTTCCAGCTGCTACCCAATTTACCATGTAACGAGAGAATGGCTATACATGTAATATTTAACGGATCAGTAAACGCAGACTGCTTCTCTTAAAACAATTATTGGTTTTTTGTTATTTTTATATTAAAAATAAGTAAAATATTTTTTTAAAGAAATAATAAACATATCTCTATTGTATTTTAATAATAATAATAATAGTGATAAAAAAATATTTAAAAAAAAGTAATTTAAGAAACCTTGCTTATCTAATAGTATTTTCGTAGGTATTTTAATTGATGATTTCCTAATTTCTAATTTAAATAATTAAACGTTCAGGAACTTTCCCAGTAAAAAAAATGTTAATTTACTTAAAGATGTCTAAGCTTATATGATATGTAAAATTTAAATAATATAAAATATAACAAAAAATAGAATATGTTGAAAATTTGTTAAATTCATTTTTAATTAGAACAATTGTGCAAACATATTTTGATTGATTTTGTTAAATAAAATAATATGCTTGTACAATTTATGTAATATATTTTATAAAAAAAATATCTAAAAAAATGTTACTTATTTAAGGACCTATTTGTTACTAGATTCTTACTAATATTTTTATACTTTGTTTTTAATAAATCATAACATGTGAAAAATATAAATTTAAATTTGTTATTAACCTGTAATCACAAACATATTTTTAAATACTTATAAAATAATTATTATTATAATTTCGACATGTTTCATTTTGAACTAAAAAAAGTGCATTTTAATTTATAAAAAATATATATTTTGTCAAATGGTGTTTCAATATAAACTAAATAAGTGGGTCAATAGTGAAATGTGTAAGAAATTGAAAATTAGATTGCGGAAAGTTGTTTACTTTATGCAGGTATGCTCATCATGTGTAGATGGCTATCTGCACTTAATTTAATATAAAACTTAAGCAAAGCTTTAAATGCTCTATTAACACAAAAAGAATCTAACAAATGCTTTCCAATAAACTATTTGTTTTTGGTCATATGTTTTTTGTTTACATGATTATTTTGTGCAAATACAACAAAAATATACTAAATTATTTGCATAATTTATATAACTACACTATCATATATATTGGATGTATTAAATAGACATTCAAAAATAGACATCCAAACAAAGTGCGCTTTGAAAACAGATGTTGTCCTCTTGAAATCTAAACAAAAGTGTGTTCAGTGAATAGCAACATGAAAAACTTCATGGAATTTTTAAAGAATTTCATATCCTACATAACACAACAATCGTATTATATCACTTATAAGTTTTATATGGCGTTTACATTGGCCGAAAA